AATATTTTCAAAAAAGAGGAAATTAACAGCCGCCCATATAAGAGCAGAATTTTAGCTTATTTTAGAAATCCTTTCTGCCACCCTTTTCTCCAAAGTACGAAAAAGAAAAAAAAAAAAAAGCTGTCAGCTTGAGACTTAATTCTTTTTTTTTTTAAAAAAAAAACCTTTCCACCATGGTCATGCTGAATAGGCCTCCCCTATTGATATATTCCAATGCCATTAAGAAACTCATTTTTACTTCTTTATTTGGCCAACATTGAAACAAAGGAGTGAGACCATTTATCTTCTAGAATATTAGGAATCAATGTATTTAGAACCTAAAACTTTTGTGTTCTAAGAACATCTTTCATTTATTGACCTTTAATATTTTTGGGCACAACTATCAGTAATTTATTCAATATTTTATCTATGATGCCATCATTTGCCAAAAAAAAAAGAGTTCATCTCCACCAGGCTGCCAACAGTACAGGTTGCCAAAGTACTCTCCAGAATAAATATTTGATCATCAACTAAGAAAGAGACAGAGGTAAGTGAGACATACCACAACACAATAATTTTCAGTCGATGCCAGCTTCTCCATACTATCAACCTGATTTAGAGCTCTATACAGGTACATTAATAGTGTATCAACTCCTTCCCTTACAGATGATGTTAAATTTTTTGTACGAGAAACCTCTAGATACCTGTAGTGGAGAAAAACAACAGAGAATAGTGGTAAAGAACCATGAGAATTTGGATTGAAAAGGAAACTTCAGCATTTCAAAGTTTGCCTACTGCTCCCTACATCTTACAAAAGTGAAAGAAAAGGAGCTTAAAATATAAATAGTAACTATAACTAGTAAATGATAACCATAATAAACTAGAAATATACCTGATAATGTTTTTTATTGCTGATTCGAGTAGTTCAGCCCTGTTTGGTGGATTTGATAAAAAATGTTCATCCAAGACGGTTTCTATGCCAGCTTTTCTGAGAAAAATAGCTCTTTGAATGGCCAGCAACCCGTTATCTACAACATCTTCGAGGGGTGCAGGAGGAGGATGCAAACCCCAGTATCGATTTCTAGGAACCTGAAAAAATGATTTGACATGGTAGGACAATGAAACTGATACTTGATCCAGCAGTCAAGCATATTCTACACCCATGCCCCTTTAAAATTTTAAACTGAAAAAGAAATATTCATTTCACATCAATTGAAGTTCAGGGTAGAGTTGCACACAAGAATATTGCAACATGTGTGAGCCTAAATAACTTATACCTAGAGCATGTAGTAGAACATTTTTCTTCTGCTTTGTCATTAATGAAAATCATGAAATCAATAAAATAATCAGTTACAAACATGGCTTAAAGAAGGAGACCTCCATAGTAGTACATCAATAAAATTATGATAAATAAATGAATAGAAAGCCATAAAACATATAGAATTTCTTAAACTTGGTTGACATGTTCATATTCTCAAAAATGGGGTTGAAGCACTTTATATCTCGAATGGAAATATTCACATCATGATTATCAATCTAGAGACAATACAAGGAGAGATAGCAAACTCTGCTTATATGGTTTTTGGCCAAATTGGTTTCTCAGCAATAGAAAGCAGGTTTGCTCTTGTCACATTTTCTGCTTCCAAAACTCTTAATTAGACTAACATGATGTCAAGCTTGCAGAAGCAAATAACAAATAAACATTTTTCCCAAGTGAAATGTGGACCATCATTTATAATCAAACAATCAAAAAAAAAGGCCAACTTAAAATGCATACCAACAATGACCAACGATTGGGGTCTCTCATTATAAATGGAAACACTTCAGAAGGCTGCATTTTCTCTGACTGCAGAAAGTGATCTACAGCTTCCTCAAAGTGTAAGTCAAAAAGCAAGAGGTAACCCACTTGCGCATGGACAAATGAAAGCATTTCCTTTGACATTTCACCTTCACACTCAAGCTCCTCCACCAAGGAGATGGCTTCTTTGAAGTTCTTTTTTCTCAACAAATCTTTTATTTGTTCTTCGAAAGGTACTTTGCGATAGCAAACAATCTGGCAAAAATTTAGCATCAAACAAAGCTAGTTTACACAAATTGTCTTACAATAATGAATAAACATGCATATAAAAGGTACACTGCAAATAACTGAGCCATGAAACCTATCATAGCAATATAGCTAATACACTCATAATCACTCCACAGTCAACTTTGACCAAAGAAGTCAATTCTCAAAAATAAGTGTAACTGATGTAGCAGGTCAAGTTACCAAGCCTTTTCTGTTAATAAATCATCGCTAATTGGACCTCTTAATATACATAGATATCCATGTTAAAACATTTATTAAAGGCTCGTAAGGTAAGAAACCACCTCATTTTATCACAAATGCAAGCTTCTAATATTCATGGTGTCCAGAACTGGTTTAATGCATTTAAATGGAAAAATAAAATAAATCCAAATATGGGTTCATGAGCCATATCAAACCAACTACTCATCCTTGATAATGCTTTCTGCTAGAGTTTTCTTTTAAAGCGAAAAACTTATGTTCATTGTTTTTCTCTTTAAGAATCTCTAGGATTGATTGAAGCATACCTTTAGGTATGGCAGTGGATAGATAAATTTAACTGATCCATCACTGATGTAAAAGAAGGATGTCTCATGTCTTAAAATGGATTTGGTAGCCCAGCAACAACAAAGGTAAACATGTTTCAAAATATGCCCATTCCTACTGAGAGTGCATACAACTCAAAACAATTTAATAAAATTAACTGATTACTTTACCACACTAAAAAGCAAGCATAATTCATTGCCATTGTCAACCTACCTTTTTGGGCATTGCAACTGCAACAAGTTCCCCATTACCATTTTCATCGTCCACAACAACACAAGGGCCAACTCCTTCAGCACCGAAGGTAACAGTTTGAATGCAATTACCTGATTTCTTATGATAAAGCTCCATCTTCCCATCCCTAGCAACCACCACATAAGATGACAGCTCCCCAATAGAATCTGGAGCCCTGCGAAACACCAAGCTCCCACCAACTGGCTGACCATGTGCATCAACAATCACACCCACATTGTCCACCAACAATAATACCCTCCACTCTCTCCACAACAGTTTCAACAAAGGCCGGCTAGATGAATCTGGTAGTGAAAAGATTACACCGCTTTGCCCAGTAATGCACGAAAACAAAGTATACCCGTTACTCGTCCCAACAATTATAGAATCATCAAGCCACACCATGGTCCTAACGCCATCAAAACACTGCATCTCCCTCAAAATAACAAAAGAGGCATTGGCCCCAATGATGTCTCTATCACTACTTCCTGCTCTACTGCCTAAAACAAGCTCTACCAACATCAACTTTTTACCCACAACAACAGCAAAAACGTAATTACCTTCATGACGCTGGTCCAACTCCTTTGCTCTCACCCCATTGCCCCGAACTCCACCTCCCAATTTCTCCAATATCCGCTGCCCCTTCAAAAAACTCGTCGCGTCTTCTGTCAAGTCCGTGCTTTCCGTTTGACTTCCTCGAAATCTCCTCGCTATCGCGCTAATCCCCTTCAAGAACCCTACTTTTTTAACTGGCTGCACCAAGCACGAATCCACAAAAAACAAAAACCCATCACACAACACAACGACCAACCCGATCTCAACGAGCACAAATATCGCCTCCACGGCAGATTCCCCCATCGAAACGTCGCGCACAAACGAAATCCTCCGACACATGGAATAGGAAATAGTTTCAATTGGAATAGAACTCGGATCATGGCTGTAGTCTGAATCTAGAGAAAGTAACAGGAGAGATCCATTGTGGGTTCCAAGGTAGAGTAAAGACCGAGAAAGAGAGAACGAGCATATCGAATGATGAGGAATCGGAAGGTCAAAGTGCGCCAGCGGCTCGACGGCGGTCCGCAACTTCGGTTTCTGCTCGTGCTTGGCCATCATAGGAGTAAAAGTACAAAGGCTAGAAGGAGGTGGACGAGACCGCCATGGGTGAAGAAGAAGGTGCTTTCTTCGTCGATATTCGGAAATTTTGATGACAATTCACGGCGTCACCTACCAGTAAACCCCCAAACTCACCCCATTTTAGTGGACAAGCCCCTAAACTAAAAAGACAAGCATATAAGCTCCTAATCTTTTTAATTGCAGCAAATCAACACTTTAGTTAACTGTTTCCGTTAAGGTCCGTCAATAACCTGACATGAGCCTGTGTGGTGGCTGAAACTTTAATAAGAGTCTTTTTTTTTTTAAGGATTTTATATAAAAATCTCCTTTAAAAAAAATTAAAGATGTTTGATAAAATTTTATATAGAAGTAATTATAGAATTGAAAGTTGTTGGAAATTTTTTTAAAAGATTTTTAAATTTAATATGATATTAAAATAGTTAAAAAAAAACGTTTTTTAAAGTAATGTTTACACCTAAAAATAACGAAACAAATAACAGCAGTCAAATTTCATTAAATAGGCGAGGAAGCACCTACAAAACCACCAAATCAGTGCTTTCCCTATTTTGAAAGGCCAGAAGCTTGCATCAGCTTCCCACAGCTTAGGCAATTCTCAAAACTATGGGTGTTTGGTACAGTTTGTATTTTTGTATTTAAAAAATTCTTTTAACAAACTGCACCCAAAGTTTACTTATCTTGTTAATTTTGAACACTAATTTTTTGGGGAGATAATGTAGAAATAACTTTTTTTATATAAGTTTTATATGCTATAAAATGAGTAAAATTATTTAATATTATAAATCTCAAATAAATAAAAAAATTAATTATTTAAATAATAAATAAAGTTATATAAAAATAATATAAAAATATCATTATGAAATCATTTTTCAATTTTTATGAGTAATTCACGAGTAAGCTAAATAAAATAATTAATTATGTGTTAGTCCCACAATTAGTCAAATTAAAATAAAATTAGTCCCTCAATTCTGAAAATTTCTTTTCTTCCCAAACATTCTTCCACCCAGATACCCCTCATTTTCCGTGACAAATGTGATTTAAAAAGGTGATTTCCATTATCAGAAAGTAAAAAGGAAACTATATTCTCTCAAACCCAAATAAATATTGACTAAAACATATGATTTGAAAGCTATGATCATAACAATCTTTGAAATGCAGCTGGATGGCGCAAGGAAGAAGAATCTACCATTCAAGGTCTTGGTGAAGAATCAATAGCAACTTAGTTATTTCTGAGGTCATGAGAGATGACCTGATGATAGAAGAACAATAACTTAAGCTTGTTTTGATTGAAGGATAAGTTTCCCAATTTGTAGTTTAGATTGGATAAAGAACCCTTGAGTGAGAAAAGACTCGAGATATCAAAAACTTACTCCTTATCCAAATATCTATGTTTTGTAATTCAATATGGTTAAGATTGCAAAATACTGTTACGTTAATAAATTAAGCTCCTTTTGTCTTCCACATTAGGCCATTTAAATTCCAGTCCAGATGAAACGCACCGTTTCATGAAAAGAACCTCTCCCAGTGCTAGCAAAAATGCAAAAGCCTCTATCTCTGAAAAAAAAAAAGCCTTTACATATCAGTTTCAATACATATATCCCACTTGAGCACATAGAGAAAGTTAAAATTATCCAATGCTATCTAATTGCTTCACTAAATCCTGCAGCGCCACAGCAGTGGCATTGTACAGAGCACGATGCTTAATTGCTTTCTCGTACACTTCATTCAAGGCTTTTCGAAGATTCCATGCCTCGAGGGGGGTTACCTCAATCTCTTTTGATGTGTTGATTGGTGCACTCCCAGTGTTGTCACTCCTATGTTTATGAGCAAGAGTCCATCTAGCTAAGATATAGTGTTCAGGAATTGACTTCCATCGATAACACTGCTTCATTATATATAAGATATGCTTGCACAGAATTCCTGCAGTCTCAAACTTGCCACAAGTACATCTAAATTGGTATTTAGCTGGCTCGCATTGTACAGTGTGTGTGTCAACTTTATCATCCACCTCATAGGAAACATCATATGTTGTAACTCCATCACTGACATTCACCCCATCATGCGAACAATGGAAACTGGCTTCTTTAAACTCAAGCTGAAAATTTGTAAAAATCTTCCTTGTGTACACTTTTGCAGCATGAAATTCTAAAGGATGCAAGCCTTGGAAATTAGGCTTCGATCTCATTGTCCATAAGTCCTCATTCTCTTCTAAATCACGACGGCATTGCACAGCCTTCCAATACTGCTCAACAAATTGGTGTACTGGAGTCAAAGAATTCACATAGCCATCAAAAAATGAATTTATCCCCTCATTCCATTGGCTTGATCTCAATCCAGCAAAAAAAGTGTCTTTTAAATATGCATCAATCCAATTATATTTTTTCTCATACATACTTTCTAACCACCTCCACGACTTCATCTCATTACATTGCTTATCAGTTAATGGCCCCTCATATTCCCTCTTATACTTATCTTTCAATGTTACCCATGCAGCCTCAGCTTCTTCAATGGTTTTGCTCTTCACCCATCTATAGTAATGTTCATCAAAATCCGGATTATAGGAAGATCGCAATGGACGTAGGTGTTCATCTTCATGAAGAGACATATGCCAGATGCAAAACCTATGACGTGTGTTTGGGAATACTCTTTGAATTGCATTAATAATTGTTGGGTCTTGGTCGGTGATGATTGCTCCAGGAGCTTTTCCTCCCATGCAAAATAGCCAACGTTCAAACAACCAAACAAATGTCTCTTCTTGTTCATCGGCTAAGAAAGCACATCCAAAGAGTACAGACTGTCCATGATGATTCACACCAGTAAATGGTGCAAATGGGAGACAGAACTGACGAGTCTTATAACTGACATCAAAAACCACCACATCGCTAAAGTTTTCATACATTGTCCTTGCTCTCCCGTCTGCCCAAAAAACACTCCTACAAACACCATCTTCATCAAGCTCAATGGAGTGGTAGAATCTATCATCCAAAGCAGCAGTGTCTAGAAAGCGTTGCATAACAGTGATACACTCACGGCTAATATTGCTCTCTCTTTTTCTTCTTGAGCGTTCTCGATACTGCTGAGGGGTAATATTTGACAAAACACATCTTGCACTGCTATTTTGATCCATTGACTCCCTTGCACATGGTAGGGCATGCTGCTTATTATGAGTTGACAATTTTCTTAATTTTCTTGATTTTTTTGGAGAGGAAACCATCTCATGGTTATGCTCATCAAAAAATTGCTTGATGATCCATACTCCATCCTTCAAATGAATAGCCATTCGAGCCGGACAACCGTCCTCACTTTCATAGATACCTTTCTTAGCCCTTTCAGCCTTTCTTCTGTAAGCTGCCTTGTAGCAAACCAAATATCTTCTACTAATAGGTTCATCAGGCCTTGATCTCTTGGCTGATTCCTTCCGGATGCCAAATCCCATTCTCTCAGCATAATCTTTGTAAAAGCCAAAAGCATCATCATCTGTAGCAAATTGCATCCCGACACAAGGTCTCCCTCCACTGCCATTCCCAACATCATTAACTGGCATATCTTCATTCTCAATCTCATCTACAGTTTGTCTCCGTTCAAAATCCTCAGACACGGCGAGAGCAACTGAAGAACAAGCCATCAAAATCATAACAGGCAATAAAATTCATCTCAATTCTCTCAAACATTTTATCAAACAGTCAAAACACACTGAAAGTAACTCGCATGCAACGCAACAAAAAAAACTCTTCAGTAACTCACATAGGACAATAAAAAGATTGACAAATCAGAAAACGTCAGATAATCAAAACAAGTTTTTTCATTTCTTGACAATAAGAAACAGATAATCATGGACAATTCGCACTCAATATAATCAAACAGATGTTACTACAGGGAGCACCCTAATAACATGAAATGTTCAATTCCTCTAACTCTTAAGGATTCAATCCAATTCACACAGCTCAGGCAGAATTCAAACAATTTAAAGAAAACAAAAGGAATCAATCAAAACACCCTAAAGCTGCATTCAAACTTCTGCAACCGAATAGACAAAAAAAAAAACAAACAAACAAACAAACCTTCAGTTTGATTCGGAGAAGACAGGGAGTCAAGCGTGCCGCCGGAAGGAGGGAAGAGCAGCGAACCCATGTTGAATTAGGAGATCAGGAGGAGTTCAGCCTTCTGCGATTGGGGAGAGAGAAGGAGCAAAACGCAAACTGCGTTAGGGATTAAGGGCGACCGGAAGTGAAGCCAAGGATTTGACCGTGAGAGACGTTCGTTCGGTGCGTTTTGTCGGGACCGAATTGTTTTATGAAATGGATTTTTATCTATGGATTGCACCTAAAAAATCAGCCTAGTGTGGAAAAAATGAAAATATCTTTAATGAATCTTCGTGCATCATATTCGTTAGCATGTGATATTTTTCAGTAAAGAACTAATTGTAAAAGAACATATTTTTGTTGCAACTAATGGTAAGAAAAAAAGAGAGTAAAAATTATGATATTTTATTATTTTAAATACTAAGATTGCATGCGAAATTGTTTTATACTTTTAATAAATCCTTTTACATGTAAATTTATTAAGAATATTTAAATTTTTTAATCTCATTCTTAATATTTTAATTGTTATTATTATTATTATTATTTTTTTTGCAATCTCTTAACAGTAATGGAAAAAAAAATAGTGAATGCGAACTGATATTTTGCTTCCAAAATCAACTATTTTCCTTTAGAGAATGCCTTTCTCGAGTTCATACGCCCTAAAAAGGTGCAATTCATGTTATAGAAGTATCAAAATATTACATAAGTTATTGATTTAAATAAAAGTAATTTAATTTTTTTTAAATAAAATTTTAATTTTAATTTTTTTTTAAAAATAAATTATTATTTTTTATTTAAAGATGTATTTGTTTCCAAAGAAACAAAATTTACGACCTTATTAGAAATTAATAATATTCATATTCTTAAATAAAAAAATAATAAAATTCACATCCTTTTCTGGTCTTTTCTCCAGTCCTAAGGTTAGTTAAATATTTTTTACAGCTCAAACTACATGGGATCGATAAAGACATTTCTGTTTCTTTAATAGTTTGCTTCAGATTTTTGGGATAGAAGGCAAATATGTTTGAAAGAGAAAAAAGAAACAAGCTCTCTCCGGCTACATGGTATTCCCAATAAATCTTCAGATGAAATTTATTTCATATAATATGAAGATTTTATCCATATTTTTACTTGTATAATTTCCTGGAATAGATAACCAATATGAATTTTTAAAAAGAAGAAAAATAGAGTAGCTTTTTGTATTGTACAAATTGGGTTAATTCCAGATCATGCCAGAGTTGCCTGCTTGCCTTTTGCATCCCTTGACTGCATGAAAATTTGTGTGTCAGTGACAATATGCTGTCAAAAGTAATGATAAAAGACTATATGGTGTTGCTTGTAAAGAGAATACCGCGCAGCAACGAATCTCTTTGAATCCAAAAACTGGCTATAGATGCCATAGAGTCTCTGTTTCTCAGACTCAGAAACTGAAGGTCTTGCCTTGGAAGCAGTGGACTTCAACAGAGCATCAGTTATCAATAGCAGTTTTCCAGTCTCATTGCTATTTTTTCTGTTCAAATGTTCATGGACCACGGTAAGTTGTGCACCTGAGAGAAGAGCCTGGAGATCAGCTCCACCGAATCCTTCTGTCATGTTTGCTATGGTGTCTAAATCGACATCACCGACCAATGGTAGCTGCATTTGTCAGTACAAAAGGAAAGTAATTTTGCTAAGCACATAACAAGGTTGAAATTCCTTGTAGAAGAAAATTCATGAACTTAAGGGAAGAATATAAATATGGATTTATGGTGAAAAGGAGTACGAGAAACATGAGTGGCATAATTACAAGCATCACTAACCTTCCTAGAGAGAACTGTTAGAATATCTAGCCTTTCATGCTTGAGATGGAAAATCACAAAAGAGAAGCCAATCAAGCCTCCCTGGTCCCAACAATGCCGCATCAAGTAGATCTGGTCTACTGCTTTCAAAAAAGAGTTCCATTTCAATTTCATCAAAGACAAACAACTAAGCAGAAAAAGTGTCCTTAAATGACAAGAAGTTAAATATCCAGTCAAGCTGAGAAAAAAATGAAAACTAAAACCCATGATCATTCATGTGAATTTCTCATCAATTTTCCCATATCATTTTAGAAGTTATGCTGACTTTAGTTTTGGTTAAGCATCTCTTTAAAAATCAATTTCCTAATTACATAGTTGTTTAAGAGTAATCTAATATTAAATTGTCAATCACTGCAACAATAAAACATTATCTAGGAGTCTAATTATCATTTCCTTTCCAACATTATGGGAAAGAGAACTTACATGAGAAGACTATCAACTAGTTCTGAAAGTTAACAACGTTTAACAACCATACGGCACATGTTCAATAAGTGGGACGCTGAAAAGATAGATACAAGCATTTGTTCAAGCAGTTAGACATTATGGTTTTATTTTCTTTGTTGGGTGTTCTATCCTCGCTGCTTTAGTGTTGCTAGTTTTTCAAGCAACAAGTTGGTTTTTGTATACACGGGTTTGAGTACCCTTGTACTCATCAAATAAATATATTAATATTTTTTTGCCTTTCAAAAAAAAAAGTTAGACAAGGAACTATACCACTGAATAAAATATTTGGCTAAAATAATTTGCTAAGAGGTTGAGAAGAGAAGTCTGATGAGATTCAGGAATCAGTCCTAATTGGTGTCTAATAAGGATTGCAGAAACAGAAGCTCTTCCAACAGAATCGACTAAATTATGAAAGAGGAGAAAATGATATAACATGACTTTCAAGAAAAACTTACCTCGTTGCAGCAAACACAAACACAGCAGTTAAAACTACAACACCACCCAACTCAAGTT